ATGTATGTATTCAAAAAGGTTCTTAGGCCACAATTGAGAAAATTTTCACAAGTCATTATAATAAAAAGGTTTCAACAGTCATGTCGTATTAGAGTCACTTTCCGCCACCTTTGACCTCTCGATTTCTTTTTAATTTTAAATATTCCATTTCATCAGAACCGCAGCTTATTCTGTATAAAACTAGGCCGTAAATTTTTGTCAGAATATACAGAGAATGCTATAAAAAATTGTAGTCATCAACAGCCTATAAATGCCCACTGCTGAGCAAAGCCTCTTCTCACACGGAGAAGGTTTGAGCATTAATCACTACGCTCGCTCAATGCGTGTTGGTGATTTCAAACTTATAATTAGAAACTATAAGTCCAGGTTTCCTTACGATGTTTTCCTTCATCGTTTGTCAGTGGTGTCTAAATAATCTTAGAAAGTACATATGACTCGGAAAAAGTCACATTGGTACTCGCCGTTGGTAGGTTTCAAACCAGCACCCTCATGTATGAGAAATGCGTCATAAAACTCCGGTCCACCACGGCGTACGTAACAAAAAAATTTAGTAGTTACTAAAATATTTAGCCAGAGTAGAATACATTTATTTTGTCACCACCGCTTCTTTCCCCATGGGTGTCATAAGAGCCAGGTTATCTGACTGGGCAACAGCGTTGACTGAGAAACCTGAATTTTTTAAACAGCGATTTTCAGCCTACCTTCCAGGCATGAAGATTTGGCAAACGATCTTTATAAGAGATCAAAGGGTATTATAAATATAGGGGAACAGGAAACTTATATTTCAGCAACAGTATCATGAGCTGTTGATGACTAAAACATTATTATACTAGCTTCTGCCAGCGGTTTCACCCGCCTTCCCGTTTAATAAAGAGTAGTCTATGTGGTATTACATTCCATAATCTACCCCTGTTCCAAATTTCATGTCTATCCCTTCAGCCGTATTGGCGTGAAGGGTAACAATTAAATAAGCATACAAACTTTTCAATTCTGACATCTGCAATTAATTCATTCCTTCAGCGAAATAAAAACTAAATATTTTCTCAGTTGTTAGTTTTACAAAACTTTCGTATTTATAATATTATAGTTGGATTTAATTATACTCTCTGCCTGCCTCGTTGGCTGAGTGGTCGCAAGTGCGACTGCTAGGCAAGAGGTCTCGGATTCCATCGAAATATTACTGGGTTTTAAAAAAATCTCAGTAGTAGCACGTAGTCTGGAATTGTGCCCGGTATATAGCAATAGGCTCACCCACTATTACATGGGACTCATAACATTAATAGTGAAAAGTGGAGGTAACATTGTACAGTGGCATGCCTTCCCCTTCAGAGATAAAAGGCTGTAATTAATTACTTATACTCTATTGCAAAAAAATATTACGACTCGAAATCCATTATTACGATACTTCATCTCAATAAGATATACGTACTTATCTAAAAATAAATCGTCCTGACCTATGTATTGCGATAATACTTCTATATTTAGATTAAAAATTGGTTCAAGCCAATCAACGGCAACGTTTTGATAACCTGCACGTGTAACTCCTTACAACCCGGTTCTAGGGAACAACGAAATGAATAAAAGACGTGATTGATCTATCTTGTGACCTCTATATCTATACTAGTATCGTCTGCGGCTTTACCCACGTAGAAATATATTTTTCTCAAGCCATTCATATATTAAGTGACTTGATAAATCTGGATTTTCAAGGAACATCAAAACAAGTCATCATAACATCATGCCTTTTATCTCCGAAGGGGTAGGCAGTCTATGTTACTTTTATCAATCTCATTACAATCAATACAAAAAAACAAAAAAATCTATACAAAAAATATACTATCAAAACAAGTCTATGTTAATAACTGATAAGTAAGCTTTCCAATGGTCTCAAATTGTTTAAAATAAATCTAGTCATTTCGGAGTTCATTAAATACAAAGAAATAAGTCAAATCTTACCTCTTTTATAACGGGTCGCGGTTTCCCCACATAGCTAAAGGAAAAACGTTACCAATATCACAATCCAACCTTACTATCACCAGACACAAAAAAAAATATTCCTAAAGAAAAAAATACAAACGAACAAACACACTCACATTCATAATATTCGTTTTTAGTATAAATAGATACCTAAATACAGTTTAATACTGGTGCACGCTTAGATACTTTATTTGAAACATACAGAGTGTGTTATTAAGTTATCCCATTTATTATACCTGACATATTGATGTCGTGGCGGCATTCACTTTAGTTATAAGTATACATTACTGTCGTTGAAGTCAAGTGGTATTTAATCAGCCATATTGACTTTCGAACACGATGTATATGAATAGAACAGGAGAATATTATTAGTGCCTATATATGAACGAGGGCTTTATACGGCTTTTGGAGATGTAAAATATTGAAAGTTAAAGATGTGTGAAAATAGAATTTTAATCAAACAGTGCGTTGATGTCTTTATAATCACGTTATTTTTTTTAATTTTACACTTTCGATATCATCATATAAAACACACACATTTTACCTTATTAGTCAATTTCTGTCATACAATTAATTAAAATTATCAATTTACAACGATAATAAATTTAAAAAACAAGAACTAATATAAAATACCCATTTCGTTCCTGAAAAAACTCTAACAGAAAAAAATAATATATTTTATAATTAAATCTTGATACTTATGACGTCCGCTGGCTGTTTTAATTAAGTGTATGTAATTAAAATTAAGCGCTCACTTCATTTATATTATACTTAGGTTAATTGTGAAATGAGAGAAAAACCTACGAACATAATAATAACAAGAAAATAACTGGACTGCGTGAATGTAATCTAATGAAACCAAATGAATTCAAAGCTAGTTTTTATTATGGCATAAGTCATAACAGGATGCAATTTTAAAATTATTGCATTTTATACGAGTTATGGGATCAGTAGAATGGGAGTGGTTATGGTAGCATGTTGGCTCCGTTATTAAGTTTAAAGACGTATAATGGAAATATCGTTGCAATGAAAAACTTAGAATGTAGTGACGTAGAGACAACATAACATAACATAACATCACAGCTTTTATCCCCAAAGGGGTAGGCAGAAGTATACATTATGCCACTGTACAATGTAACACTCACTTTTCTCTATTCATGTTAAGAGTCCCATGTAATATTGGGTGAGCCTATTGCCATATACTGGGCACAATTCAAGATTCCGTGCTACTACTGTGATTTTTTTGAAAAACCCAATAATACCTTGCCCGACCCGGGAATCGAACCCGAGACCCCTTGCCCGGCAGTCGCGCTTGCGAAGACTCGGCCAATGAGAGCAGAGGCAGCAATAGAGACAACTAATTAAGAAAACACAAAATGTTTACAATTTTTTTTTATATATTTGATGGGCGAAGCGGTGACACTAACTCTATACTAACTAATTATACGAAACAATTATATACCTATCGTTAGCTGAAAGACATTTTCTGCTAAGCACGGGCCTTTCCCCTAGTCCTTTACATCGAACAACAACGCGTCACTTGCATGCAATAGCTCCCCGAGGTACATGGTCGTTATCCTCGACCAACGACGCGACTTTACGTCACTACGCACACGTCATTTATTAATGAAAAAAGCATTTACCGCCGTACTCAGAGTCATTTACTTATGTATATTACATAAGTCATTTCTTAGCAATTGTTCTCGATACAAAACCTTGAATAGTTTAACTGTTTAAGTAATTATTTCTCCACATTTTGTTTTTTAAAGCACAATGCACTTTTTAGTCCACAGTTGAATTACTTAATTATTTTTAACAAATGCAAATATCTAATATTGTACTCGTGCGCAGCGCTGTCCGCGTGGCAGCACTGGCAGGGTCACCATGCAATGTGGAACAATGAAGGAGACGTGTTGTTGTTAGGAATAACTTTAATTGTCTTAACATCTAACTTACGCTACTTACTAATACGGCGAGGTGTCACACACACTACAAATGTCTCAGTCTAAGATACTGAAAGGCTACTTCAATTTTAAGTCGAGCTTAACCCCTCGAGCGTCCATATGAGCACCCGGTGGATCATAAGAAAAAATGCTCCAAATGTCACGTGTTGGATCATAAGGAACGCGGACGCTCGTAAATAAGTATAGTTCTATCGCAACAAAGTCTTTGTAAAATGATAGAGATGGCACGATACTTAAGTACAATTTAAACTAAAATAGCCTTTCAGTATTCGGTCGTTAGTATTTTAATTAAATGTGAGCAATAGAGCGTTTTTCCCACAACAAGTATTATAAGGAAATCTTCTATAATAATAAACTAATACTCAATTAGCGGTCCAAGCGAAATTATTAAAATCCAATTATGAAATAGGTATAGTCTTAATACAAACAGTTATTAATTTTGTGTACAAAGAACATGTCCGTGGGCCGCGTGTAATAAAATAATTTCAGTGGAATTTGATATTCGAAAATATTTTAACTTTAAGTGGTTAAGTTTGTGAAAAAGATAACATACTTTCAAGAAATTGTGTTGTACATTGTGATATTTAGGATTAAAGTTACTTTAAGTAGGATTGCCTACATAAAAGGTTAGAAGTCATTAGATATCTTGTACATACATTAAGTGAAAAGTATTCAGATTTTCAATTAGGTACAAATTGATTTCCAACTGGTAATTAAATTTAAATGACTGCACGGTTGGTACGGTGGCTGGGCAACGGGCTGCCGTGCAACGTGTCGTGGGTTCGATTCCCGCACGGTACAACACTTTGTGTAATCCACAAATTGTTGTTCCGGGTCTGTGTGTGTATGCGAACTTGTATGTCTGTAAACGCACCCACGACATAGGACAAAATCCCAGAGTAAAGCTACGTTTTAAAAAAAAAACAAGTATTAAACTGTATATGACGTACCATTGGAATATCCTACGTCTAGCAGTGGATGAAAACCGGCGCTGATGTGCTCTTTGTCTATCTGTTTGTAGGCTTACGGTGTTTTTTTTATTGGCGCAGATCAGGTGCAATGATGCGTGGTGCTGGCGGAGCGCTGGCCGTGGCCGTCGCCGCGTTGCTAGTCTGCTGCAGTGCAGATCCTCATCAGGTAAGGAAACTTACAGAATTTGTGAGCAATGAGCATCATCATTTGAAATTAAAAATAGCCATGGAAGCTACGGCGGCCATTAAATGATTGTCATAATATTAGCGTTGGATTTGTCTTTAACAGTTATCAGTTGGTCTTCAGTCGGTAATCAAAAGCTTTAAATCGGTTATTGTAATCAAGCAATTTTGGACTTTACAGTCAACTTTTTAAGATATTTAACCAATGATGTACATATGTTGTATGCATTGTACAATCATTGCAATGCACTTATGATTCGAATCTCGTGTCGACAAATAACATTTTTAAGTTAAAGTCTAAAAACTACATATTATTTAAAAATTGACACTTTTTAACATAATTTCTCAACTTAATATTCTTTTAAAAGAAGCAATAGTAAGAAAATAAATAAAAATAAACAATATATCAAGTCAATAAAATGCAGTACATGTAATCTTGAATTGGAGATCGCTTCCAATCTCTTCTGTGGACAAAAATCACGATTGTGAGATATAGCACAGCATATATGGTGTACCAATAAACGATACAAGTATACATATAGTATAGATATACAATCATATACTGTCCGATTGTCCAGCGCTTCCCAGCCACGATACTCGTATTTAATCCACTTTATTTTTGTATAATCTTCTTGCACTCTCTGAAATAGACTTCTATATAAAATAGACACTATTCGAAATAAGACATTTTATTCATATCAATTTAAAATATTGGAAATAATTCACTCATTAGAAGTTCTTGAGGTAATTTTCTACATGACTCGCCACATTCTTTACCTTAGAGGTTCTTCAAATATGTACCAAGTTCAAGTTATAATGTGTTCACATTAGTTATTCACTGCTATTCGTATCGGAAACTTAACTAAGTAACGTGAACATGTTAACATGTTTACACGCCAGGAAGTTATAAATATTAAAGCATTGCGCATTACTATTAAAGTTTGAATAAATAGCTACACTTTCAAATGGCCATTTTATTCTCTAAATTGAAGATAAAAGAGCCCTCAATCAACAACTAAATGCCACTACTTAGGGCAGTTATTCAGTCCATTGACCCGTTAAACGCACACAATTTTAAAAAAGTAAGTACACTCAACAATTGAACGAATTTCGCCAACTGCCGCCCATTTGGTTTCCACGCGATTCCGTGTATCCCCAACACAGACGGAATATTAATTGACTACAAATTCTGATTGGACGGCTGTAACGAGAAAATATAATCATAACTAAAGCCTCCAATTAGATACTAATCGGTTTGTAATCGATACTACAAAAATAGAAATAGGAATATTACAATCGATTCACGAAATTCACTCTCATTTTGTTAGCAGATGAGATAAATTGTGTAGAATCGATAGTAAACAGCAATGAATTTTTCTTGTCCAGGTGAATACGGTAATAGCCATTACCGGTTACAATTACCTCTAGCATCGTAATCAATATTTCTAACGATTGAACCTTATCGAGACTATATTCCTATGTCTTGTAAATAATGAATTAAACTAACTTAAGTACATTGTTTTTTCAAAACTTAGGTACACGAGTTTAGCTTAGTTTGTAGATATTAGTTGCTTTGTATAAATATCCTAATGTTGACGTTTACTTGACCTTTCGTTTATAGTAGTGGACAAACTATGAGTTTTAGGCGATTTTAAACTTTGTTTCATGCTATAAAAAGCTTAATATATAACTTTCCTAACTTGTTAAAATATTTAGAATGCTTATAAGACTGATTTTACAGATGCATGTATATTGTTTTTTAAAGTTTAATTCGTATAAAAGAATACACCCGGTAAAACGTTTTGTTTTTAATATATAAAATGCAAGCTACGTAATAACAACATGTTAATAAGGACGTTGCTATCATTCCTTCGGGACAGCAAGTAATTACAACTAGTATATTAGTTGCTTCGTCGCTCTACATTAAAAAAATGTGACCTTTTTTATACGTAACTTCTAGATACTTTCACTGAAGCTATATATATATAAAAGTAAAGGTGAAGCCGTCTTCAAATACAATTAAGTCGTTTGGCTACCAAAATAAAGTTTAACAAAACACACATAAGCCAAACAAACTTATTTCTGTCCACACTTTAAGTATGGCGTTGAATAAATATACGAAGCACTGTACTCAGTCTACTAACAAAAGTAACAAAATGGCCGGTCGTCTCTAAAATACATAATTGAATTTAACATTTTTAAATGTCATGTTATTTAATTCTTGAATGGGAGCGTGATTAATGAGCAAATTGTGAAAAGCGTAGGCACACTATTCTAACCTGTGACTAAAATAACGGACCTTACATTATAATGAAAGTATAATTAGATTTAACAAAAATATCTTTTATGATTAAGGTGATGGAAAATGACAAGAGTTCGTAATTTTCCGAATTCAATTCTGTGGCACATGCAAATCTGAATCGTAATTATTGCGGCATTTTAACGATTCGTTCTTGTCTAAAATTTGTTTTTTTTTACACAGGAGCAGGATGTAAGTGGTAACGACCACTCCGCGGAGCGCTACGATGCCGCCGGTAAGTGAACGCCCTATTACACCCACATCGCACACATTACAAACTTCCACAGTTATTCAATATTCATGTCTGCACACTGTATGCCAACACGAATGATACTTTACCTCGCACATATTGAATGGAACTACTTGGAAATTGAAAGAAAAGCAATCAATATTGGATTATATTTGGAACTAATCGTACTCAATATAGTAACTATTTTGATTCAGTAACTAAATACATAATATCCGTGTCGATGACAGCTTATAAGGTTATGAAGTCCAAAATAAGCTGAGCTCTGAGTGTTAGAAAATCATAAATATTGTGAGGTCATTTTATACCGTCACCTGTAGCTACATATACCGTTGAGGTGTGGTGGCTTAGACCCGTCAAAGTAGTTCATGTAGAACATGTGGTCTATACGTATTACCTCCTGAAGTTCTGCGTGTTTGTAGTTTGTGTAACATGTACTTTGATTTATACGCCTATTTAGTACTATTGAAGTTAGTGAATAAGTTGCTTATATTATTGACAGTACATACACAGTTGTCAAACAATCATAGCTTTGGTTCATACGCTTGACCATGATATAATCCATATGTTGATTGTACTGAAGCACATTTATGTATAAATAATGTTCACACCGTTCACACAACCAAAGCGCACCAATTCCACGATTTAGAAATTACACTCCGTGTTACCAGCACAGCACAGTTTTATGTTCTGTGACGTCTAACGTCTGATGTGAATACCAAAGGTATACAACCCTGATGACCAAAAGGCGTTCCACACAGCACTAAAAATTCTTTGCACTTCCCCTGTATTTAAAATAACACTCACGAATTCGTCGAAAATTGCACTTAGTTTGTTAATAAACCCCTTCTGTGCACCAATACCATTCAGGTGATGGGATATTGCACCAATCACAGTACGTCTTTGCACAAGATTGAATCACGAAGCTTTTGTACACGGTGCATATATGTTTCTGCACAATGTGTGGTGAGTACTAATTTATGTTATGCACAAACTTGTTTAGCTAATCTAAGACATTTCTGCTTCAAGTTAAGATTGCTTGAATTTGTTACAGATTACAAACAAAAGGAACTTGAAGATTTTCTCCGATTCCTGGTTCACTACGAAAATAAGTACGAAGACCGCAACTTGAACGGCCTCGGTGGAAACTCTCTGCTCGGAAGGAACACTAACGGTCTCGGTGGAAGCTCCCTATTGGGCAGGAACCTTGGGAACCTCGGGGGTAGTTCTCTGGTGGGCCGAGAGTTACATTACGGCGGAGCAGGCAGGAACACTCATGGCATCGGTGGCTCGACCCTTGCTGGTAGGGAAGCCGAAGGAGAAAAAAGGATGTACGCCAGATTCGTCGACTCTCTTGGAGGTGGTAACTTTGTTCGTAACCTGGACTCTATTGGAGGAGGGAATTTTGTGAGGAACCTCGACTCCATCGGAGGCAGCAACTTCGTGAAGAAAAACCTTGACCAGCTCGGCGGGCCGAACCTTGTCAAGAAGAACCTGGACTCCTTGGGCGGAGGCAACTTCGTCCGGAACCTCGACTCCATCGGCGGCGGCAACTTCGTGCGTGAACTGGACTCCATAGGAGGCTCCAACTTCGTTTAAATATTTCATTCCATCTATCTGATCGTTTTACCCTTTGTAATATTTTCTCATACAACGTATACATTGTGATATCCCTAAGAAAATTTTATTTATTGAAAATTTGTCATTGTTTAACATTCGGTGTTGATGTTTTTAAATAAATACTTTGCAACCTGAATGTTTATTTTATTTCTACGTGTATAATCTTTGATATAATTTGAATTTTATTGCAATTAACTGTGCTTATTGACACATAGACCGTCGCTCAGGTAAGACTAAGTGCTGAAATATTGAATACCATTTGGATTATCCATTTCTTCTTGTAACTGACTGTTGGATTGAATGCGTGTAGGTCACAAGACTCGTACCCTGGACGACGGCAACTTAGTAAGAGAAGTCCGAGAGATCCGCCACTCTGGATATGTGCCATACCTCCTCTCTAGACGATTTGACTTCGCCAGGTTAGTAGAAAAGTAAATAAGTCATCATATCACATTACAATTAAGAGTGTCGACTCTCATCTATAAATAATGCTAAGAAAATTACTTTGAAAACGACATGAAGTCTTTTATTTGATGTTGACTTCTGATGTAAAATTACTTAAGGAAATGTAATTTAATCGGACACTAGAGGTCTCTAGGAGACGCTGAAATACACTTCATAGCAATTTACGTTTGTATATTTTTAAACTTGAATAGAATAGAATTTCATTGTTAATTCAAAAATTATGTTTTCTGCCTTTCCTTTTAAAGGCAGGTAAAACAAAAATACAAAACATTTGACAGTTCAAAAACATTTTCTGACAAAAAAATATCAGAAATAAACCATAATTCATATGTGATAGATATCATAATTAATCATTTAATTGGTTTGACCCTTGTACGACTTATCTATATACCTTCATGTTAATAAGAAAATGTAATTATGAGAATGTATTCATGTCGCATTGAAAGTAAAATATTATATCTGATTCAATACCCAATTACTTGATTATTCCTCGGAGGTATTTTACGAAACACCCTGCTGTGTTGCATTGAGTAGACGTATATAGGGTGCACGGTAAATCAGTCCTTATTGAGCCTTCTTTGAACTTACGAATTAGGTTTAAGAAGATTTCAATGTCATCCAATAATTGTATGCAATCAATTGGGGCATACCACATTCTATTATATCACTGTAGGACTTCTTAACTTATGTCAATTTTAAGTAATTTAAATTCACTGCTTCGTTGGCCGAGTGGCCGCAAGGGGTTTCGGGTTCGATTCCCGGGCCGGTCAAAGTATTATTGGGTTACTAAAAAAATCTCAGTAGGAGCACGGAGACTGGAATTGTGCCCGGTATATGGCAATAGGCTCACCCCCTATTACATGGGACTCATAAGATAAATAGTAAAAAGTGGGTGTTACTTCTGTGTGCACCTTTGCCTATCCCTTCGGGGATAAAAGGCGTGATGTTATGATATTATGATAACTGACATTTACTGACAATAAGGAATAAGTACAAGAACTGCTGCTATCAATAAAGCATTTCTATTTAGGTATTTATGTAGTTCCTATTGGTGAAATATTGAATTCACTTTCTTCTTTGAACTTTCTCAACAGTTGTACAGTGCTATTGTGAGCCACCTTTGCTTGCGTCAAACCGATTTTATCTACAAATCACCCAGCACTCTCTTTTCAATTTCAATTTTCTCAAAAACTTGACTTCTAGTTGCCTCTAATAGAGTTTATTTTAAAAGTTCGATTTTCTCAAAAACATTGCCTCTAGTTGTCATCACAGCGTTTATCATTTATCACAAACTTCATCAACATCAATAAACATACCAAACTGAACTCATTTTATCATAAAAGCATTATTTTTAGTCGAAAATCTTAATTAAGTTGCCTGCTTAAGACTGCCTCGTTGGCCGAGTTGTCGCAATTGCGACTGCCGGGTAAGGGGTCTCGGGTTCGATTCCCGGGTCGGGCAAAGTATTACTGGGTTTTTAAAAAAAAAAATCTCAGTAGTAGCACGGAGTCTGGAACTGTGCCCGGTATATGGCAATAGGCTCACCCCCTATTACATGGGACTCATAACATAAATAGTGAAAAGTGGGTGTTACATTGTACAGTGGTATAATGTGCACCTCTGCCTACCCCTTCGAGGATAAAAGGCGTGATGTTATGTTATGTTATGTGAAAATCTTAATTATTATGTATCTTAAATTATGTTTTTATAATAACTATCGTGAGACATACTAAATTAAGTAAAATCGCGGGTTACTCACGTGAATATAGAGGTACTGAGAAAAGCTCTACTAGTTTCGAACCTCAGAGGGGTTCTTCCTTATGAGCAGCGTGCGCGGCCGCGGCAACGTCGCGCAGCTCACTGAGAAAGAACCCCTCTGTGGTTCGAAACTAGTAGAGCTTTTCTCAGTATATTTACGTGAGTAACCCGTGATTTTACTTAATTTATCTTAAATTACTTTACACAGTCCGTATGGAAGCAAACGTGAGCCCTGGGCGCTTGCACCGATCGAGTTCAGAGGGTACTACGGAGATGGCCTTCCTAAGCGTAATTTCGACGAGATCGACCGGTAAGCATATTATAGCCTTTTTTCATATTCTTTTTTACTCTTTTGTATTGCGTTTTGAAGCTTGTAAAGGGAACGTTATCTACATAGTATGAAGGATGACCAAATCTTCTATATTAATAATTTCGTCAAGGGCTACGGTAGATTCAATAGAAACAACACTTGAATAACAAAACATAAAAAAATATCGATTTCGAGTCGACAACATAATATATCCACAAAATTCGGATTACAGAGATTATTTCGTTTTATTAATTCATTTTAATGACACTGACAGACAAACCGCAGTCGCCATCTTGAGTAGACAATAAACGTTCCGTTTAATACTAGCTCGCCAATCAATACCCTTCGCCAATCAACACGTTGTCGCGTCGAAAAAGTATAAATTAACAAGAAATATGAATAATTTCACAAGAACGAAGTCGCGGGTAACAGCTAGTGATTAAATATTATCGTAACTATTGGTGTGAGATATTTTAAATTAATTATTATGTTTTCGGCTTACTCACGTAACTGTTTGACGAGGAACTCGACTAGTTTCAAGCCATGCTAGAGGCTCATATTAATGAGCAGCATTCCGCGATCCGCGACATGGCGACTGTCGCGCTGCTACTCACAAACAGTTAGGTACGTGAATAAGTCGAAAATATAATAATTAATTTTGTATCTCTCACGAAAGTTATAATGAGATATTCTGTTGATTATATTAACTAGCCCTTTTTTAAATGACAACACGATTAGTGCGATGGCTGGGCAACTGGCTGCCACACAACGTGTCGCGGGTTCGATTCCCGCACGGAGCATCTCTTTGTGTGATCCACGAATTGTTATTTGTTTGTTTGTAAACGCACCCAATACACAGGAGAAAATCCTAGTGTCGGCAACGTTTTTCATAAAAAAAAAATAAAAGAAAAAGAGAAGAAATGCCTACATTATATTCAATGTATAATTCCTAATTCACACACAATTAATTCAAACTTTAGTATATTGTACGAGACTTTATTTAAAAAATTATAAAACATTTTTTCTATATCTATCTTCTCTGTACTTAATAATATTCACTAACATACTTCAATTTTGTTTTTCCAAAAATGTGTTTCACATCCTAGAGGTATTTAGCGACTTGAATAACAGCTTTCATAAACATGTAATCAATTTTCAGCCTAAAGCAATATTGGGATATTTTTAGTGAAAACACTAGGGAACACGCTTCAGTATATCGATTTGTATCAAGTATTTACGAAATTCTATTGACCGATACATACGAAATTGATTTGACATTTTCATTCGAGATATGTCAATGAGAACCCGTCATTTTCATGTATTTAAGGTTCATATACAGGTTGTTAAAAATCGCTCGTAGTATGTTTATACAGTGTATGGTACGTTTCGTTAAAAAAATACTTAAATCTAATTTTATTTATTATTAATTATTGCAATCTCACTACAAAAATACCAGCATTTATACCTAACTATTTTCATAAAATTATTAATTTTTACTTATTTTACATATTTAGCTAAATAATTAGCTTCTGCCCGCGATTTCATACTCGCAATCGATTTTTTCCTCGGTTCCATAGGAGTTTGGGAATATCCTTAGATAAAAAGTATCCTATATCCGCTTCCGGGTTTAAAGCTATCTCCCCTCCAATTTTCTAAATTTTTTTTCCAGCTGTTCTATTAATATAAATACACGACTTTCTTTTATAATTAATATAGATGTATAGTTCTCGACCGAAGTTGTACAAGTCCCTAAACAGCTAGTTATGGCGAAAACTATTCGGTAACTGATTTCTAAATTCATAGTAACTTAAACACATAGGTACCTTCTGCCCAAAGCTATATAACTTTACAGACGCACTTCAAAAAAATCAAAAAAAAAAAAATCAAAAATGTTTATTTCATTATTACACGTTAATACAAAGTTACACAGTTGGTGGCGTCCCCTTTTAAGCATATAAATGCCTGTACCAGGAGGCGCCGCTCTTTTATATCATACAAGTGTAATACGTTACAATAGTTAAAATTAATAATTGAAAGTCTAGTTATATCATAAGTCTGTTGGTGTGTGTGTGTGTGTGTGTGTGTGTGTGTGTGTGTGTGTGTGAGGGTGTGTGTGTGTGTGTGTGTGTGTGGTGTGTGTGTGTGTGTGTGTGTGTGTGTGTGTGTGTGTGACTATGTGTGTGAGAGTGTGCGTGCGTGTGTGCTTGTGTGCGGGTGTATGTGTTTTTGTGAGTGAAAGGGTGTGTGCAAGGTTGTATTACACGCAACTAGGTTTTTGTAAATAGGAACAGCCTAATTTAGATTTAATTTTTATTTAACAGTAGATTCTCTGTTTCATCATAACATAACTTGTTTATCCAGTTAAACAGTAACGATTTACATTCTTTAAACGGTTTAGCGTAGATATGTATTTCTTTATTTATTTATTATATAAGTAAGTCGAGCGTGTATCGTACTGAAATTTAGCAAATTCTGTTTTTACCGAGTGGTGCAAGCAACATTGTGTTTTCTTCCTCTAGCCAAAATTCTAAAATCGAATGGTATGGTTTTATGTTTTTTTAGTACTATGTGTAAAATATATAATTTTCGGACTGATAATAGGTTACTAATTTGATATAGCTCGAAAGTGGGAAAATTCCTCTTCCTGAAGTACATCACCTTTACTAATGTCCGTTGTGCTCTTTCAACTTCAAGAAAACGTGTCTTACGTGCCCCTCCCCAAATAGAAATACAATATATTATCACTGATTGGACTAGCGAGATATACACTTCATTTAGAAGGTTTTTTGATTCGCCACTCTTAGGGACTACATGACGCAGAGTTTTGAAAATCCAAATAAACTTACGTATTCTCGCAGTAATTTTTTCGATTTGAGGATACCAGGACAAGCCTTGGTCCAACACTACACTAGATACTTGACGTGGCTGACTTTACTTAAGATTGGACAATTACAGTTGTGATTTGCTACACTCTTACATTCATGTATTTTAATTTTGAAATCATGATCTGGTTGGACATTTTTATATATTGAGAAGCATATGTAATTAGTTTTGCTTGTGTTTAATGTTAGAAGGTTGGTTTTTAGCCATGAAGCTACTTGTAACAAACCATTTTCAGCACTGATTTTGGCTTCAGCCCAGTTTGAGCCAGTAAAGACAATTGCGGTGTCGTCGGCATACGAAAAAATGTTGGCATTATTAATTGACATGTTACATAAGTCGTTAATGTAAATGAGGAATAAGGTTGGTCCCAAAACGCTCCCCTGGGGTACACCGCAAATAACGTCAACCTCCCACTGACGTAGTTCTCTAGCTTAACCTTCTGTTTTCTGTTTGTTAGATAATCTGTAAATATAGCTAGTTGTGTTTCTCTAATACCAATTTTCTCCAGTTTTTGGACAAGAATGGGAATAGAAACCGTGTCGAAGGCCTTTTTTAGGTCAATAAAAACAGATAAGCACCTAGTTCCTTTGTCAAGTTCTTTTGTAAGTAAAGAAGTTAAAGATGTGATAGCATCTTCCGTAGAGATACCTCGTCTAAAGCCAAATTGGGATGGGGATAGAATGTTGTTGGTTTGAAGGTAACTTAATAGTCTGCAATTTAAAAGTTTTTCTAATATTTTTGCTATAACAGGAATAACAGAAATTGGTCTATAATTGTTGATATCACCCTCATTTCCATTCTTGTATATAGGGGTTATTATTGATTTTTTTAAGGAGCTAGGGAAGATGCCTTGCTTAAAACAAAGATTAGCCAGATGTGTCAAAATTGGAATTATTTCATTCTTAACATGTTTTAAATACCTAGTAGAGATATTATCCCATCCTGGGGCACTATCCGATTTTAGAGAGTTAATAATAGAGTTTATTTCATTGTTATCTGTATCCAGAAGAACAAAAGATTTAGAGAGACTAGGTAAAGAACGTAGATAAAGATTCAGGTCATTCTGGGTTACTTTTTGTTGGATATCATTTGCAAGTTGGTTACCGATATTTGCAAAATATTGATTTATGAAGTTTGCTGATTCCACTGGTGATGCTTTTAGATTAGTTAATTCAGTATTCGTTTTAGTACATTTATTTGTATAGGTGATGGTTCTCAGGTTTTTCCAAAGTAATTTATTGTTATTTAATGATTTAGTTAGGAGGTTTCTTTCATATTTTCTTTTTATTTTTTTTTTTAGGTTGTTGCAATGGTTTCTATAACGAGCATATGTAATTTTTTTAATTTCATTATGGGGGTCGTCTCGAGATTGTTTTTGAAGCTTGTTACGATTCTTTATACATCTTAATATGCCTTCCGTGATCCAGGGTTTAATGGTTCGTTTATTTTTAGGGATTTTGTGAATAGTAGTATTAGTTTTTAGTGAGTCAGTAAGTTCCTGGATTAAACATTCTGTTATGTAGTTCGGATTTTCGCAGAAAAGCAGAGATGATAGATTTTTTTCTTTTAATTGTTGTAAGGCACTTTCAAAGTCAATTTTACGAGTCGTTGTTGGTGTAGTTTGGCAATGTTTTATTTTAGATAGCGATAGAAAGATTAATTACTTAATTGTATACTAAAGCTTAAATTTTGAGTTTAAATTTCATTGTAGTTGTTTTTATTGTAGTGTAAATAAATAGTTTTTATAAATAAATAAATTAAACACAAGGCCTGAATCTTCAATATATTATACTTATTTCCAGAGTTCGATCACCCTATTGTTAAAAAACAGCAAATCATCACATTCACAGAAACTGAAATGTCAAACAAGGAAATCACAATTCTTCATACGTAACTTACTAAGAATTCTCCAACAACGGCTAAGGGAAAGCTAGGATTTCTATGATTAAATATTTAAACGAATTCCTAATCCCGAATATTTTTACGACCGATTAAATAGAAAGGGAAAACTATTTAAGGGGTATGTTATAAATTGTCCATCAAAAACAAAACGAACAAAAACATTAAACTTGTCTTTTCATTCCTAAAATACGTTTATACAAGATCCAAAATAAATACTTTTATTACGCATCAAATGATATAAGGAATCTACTTTATTTTAAGTAAAGAACATTGTTATTTTTGATACAATACCACGATGGTCTTTTTTTATGGAATAGGAGGCAAACGAGCATACGGATCACTGATGGTAAGCGATCAGCGTCGCCCACAGCACCAGAGGATTCACAGGCGCGTTGCCGGCCTTTTAAGGTGGAAAGATCTGTCGTCGACATTATTTCCGAACTGATACGACCTTCAAACTTTCAAGAAAATAGCATCCGCCTTTTTGAAAGGCCGGCAACGCACCTGTGAATCCTCTGGTGCTGTGGGCGGCGCTGATCGCTTACCATCAGGTGATCCGCCTGCTCGTTTGCCTCCTATTCCATGAAGAAATGAACCAAATATTTCTATAAACTTCACACACACAATAATACGCTTCGTATCTAAAAAAGATACCCTATACCTATACTATTTTTCTATAAATAAGACCTTTAGACAAGCTTACCAAAAAGGTTCTTATAATTACATCAACAATCGGACGTAATTAGGGAGCTCAGTATTTCCGTTTCCATTTCCTAAGATGGCGGACACCAAATGTTTATTTTCTTCCCGTAAATAAAAATACTTCTTTTCAATGTCACCTGCTTGAAATACATGGATTCATTGCACTATCAGACTGGAATAGAAATTACAACATTTTTTATGATGATTATTTAAGTCCCCTTTACACAAACTATGCAAACGCTAGTCGAAATAAATCAAATTTAAAATCTGACATTCGATGGACTTGGTCAACTGCCCAATGACCACATGGTCTTAGTATTTACCACATCACCAAATAACGTCGGCCATAGAATACACAATTCCCATAGTAATAATGTTCCTACCTCTTTACAGTTCCTTAAATTAAATAAACATCTAATAGATAAAATCTTTTCCACCAGATCCGGCCTGGACACGTTCGTGAAGAAGCGCAACTTCGACGAGATCGACCGTTCATCAATGCCGTTCCCCTACGCGACCAAACGCTTCTACCATCTGTACGGAACCAATGACATTGATACCCCCGTGTAAGGCGCGTTCAGCGACCGATTAGCACTGGAACGATGATACACTACCGATGTCAAACATTTTTAACACTTATAATAGATATTTCATTGATAGATTCCTAGAGCAAGTAGGCAAAGGAGAAATTCGAAATCGAGTAACCTTTGTTTCAATCTAATACAGCTACAGGCTTTCCCTAATTACATACAACTCATAACATAATTTAAAGTAAAACATTGTAACATACGGCATCATAATATATCTATATCACTGTAAAAGTGCTACAGCATTGCATAATTCTCTGGTAGATACTCGTCGGAGCAATCTAAAACAACAGTCGATTCAACAAACTAAAATCCAATTCAATGCAAACGTTCACCCAGTTCGTGGATAAATGTTATAACTGGAACGTGCTAAAGCATTCCTTGTGTTACAGTTCAAGCTTCGACAAGAAGAGGTACAGACCTGACTACCCCATGGACGAGATTGACCTGTCACACTTCCCCATCGGTTCCAAGAGGTCTCAAGACGACTACCCCCTCGTTCCCCGCAATTTACTGTAAACAAAAGAATCCAGCTACCGTCCTATTTACAAACCATTAGTCCACAATTCCATATAACTGTCTTCGCTCAGAACTCTGTGATTGGCTAATAAAACATTTCGTTTGTTACAGTAATGGTTTTTCTTTATCTTTCTACGATACTAAAATTCTTACTTTTTCTAAAAAAAGTTTTAATGATGTTACAAAAAAGTTTTTGTCTAAAGTTGATTCTTTGACTTCGTCCGGTCCTATACACTCCGCGTGTATTAATATTATCTAATAGTATCTAGTACTTTCTCATTGTTAAAGTATCTAGTTTAGATAATTATTAGACTTATAATATGATATTGTACATTTCTCTGATATTATAAATTGTAGTAAAATTTAATGTGTAAGGAGGGAGAGGTTTAGATTCTTATCTAAATATTATATCAGTATTATCGAGAACCCTTAGAAAATAACCTTAAAAATTGTACCTGTATATTTATGTTTACCTTGCATTGTGTATGTAAAAGTTTATGTTGACTTTGAGTATAAATTATTATGAAATAAATAATAAAAAGTATATGAATGTTGTTATTTGTTTCTATTCTTATTTCGTTCTCTGTCGAAGAGACTCAGTTTCAAATATAATTAATGTTTAAGTTTGTTCAACGCCCTGTATAAATTACTTAAAAGGCCGCATCCCTTATCTCACTGTTGGTTAAACAAGAAGGCACAAACACTGAATAATAACTCGCCGACGGCTGTAACAAATAGTTTCCATAAGAACATTATTTTTACTTTGAAACCTTAATTACGAAGGCCGTCAATCTAATTACAATTTTAAATCCTCCTACCACAAAACATAATTTCGAAAGCTCAGAAGTTTTCTTTGAGAAATAATAAGTTATTGTTGCTGTTGGGTTAACGAAATTGTTGAAATTCAAAAGAGTTTCAATTCCTTTTTGTGTCATACTCTAAATAGGTGGTGGAAAGTTCGAAACAATGCCTGTGTTACTACAGAAACTTGACCGGTTCGTTGAGTAATATTCAATTTTATTGAATGACGACCAAACTCTAAAGTCGACATCTCGTTCAAACTATAAATAAAAGTATAATTTCAAGCACCTCGTTGGTCAGGAGGATTGCTTAATAGGAGGTCACACACTGTATTGTCAAGGTTTCAGGCAACATGCTTAGCCGCATTACGTAGTTCTTAAGATAACCGGTGAAGAGTGGGTGTTACTTCTGCCTACCCCTTCGGGGAGGAAAAGACTTGACGTCATATTTCTCATACTCATATTTCTGATGGGTTTAACTATACAACGCAAATACCTGATAAATGATAACCAAAGCTTTATAGTTTATTTCTTGTATTGAACTGCTTTGTAAAAACAGACGAAAATTCAATCTAGTTGATAGGTACCTAACTACCTATGCATAGCTATGTATTCCTGACTATTCAAATAGTCACGTAGAGAGATTAAACGAATCACAGTCCACGAAACGGCTCATAAAAGTAAGGTGTGCCGAGATTGTGCCGACAAATGGCGACAAAATGGCCGATGACTAACGTTTCTAAGTAATTAAAGTTCGCGTTGGAACGCAATCTAACTAAGCAATCTAAAGTGTGACAAATAACTGGCGGTGGCACCACATTCGATTAAAAACTGACACACAGTTTCGAAGTAAATCAACACAACAATAGACTCGGTTGCAGGTAGAATTGGGGACAGATATGTAGGGCGTATGTGTGTCTCCCAGTTCCTAGTTACTTACTTTTGGTTAGGGAGTTGTTATATCTAAGACTGTGAACAAACGTGTAGTGACTGATTAATCTTCTATTATGTTTTGCCATAGTACCAATAATGTTCCCCATTCATTCCATGTCATTTAAAGACAACTAAATCACTGACTAAAACATCGAACCTTACCTTAATTTAGTGTTTCGTAGAATTTTAAAATTGAATGGAAAGCCACGAAGTACAATGGTCGTTTGACCAAAGCAGTTATTTGTATTTGATTTAAAACAAGTTACTTGATTTGGTTTCAACCAAAGTTCAAAATAGAATGGCAATGATATGTTAGGACATACCTTTGGGAAAGCTTGATGTGTTCCGAGTTTTTAGCGACTCTATTGTATTGTCTCCTTGTAAGTTAGAAAATTGTGCTATTAAACTTAGAAGAAACTAAATAGTGATGTCTTTGAATAAAAAGTTGTTTATATTGCTTAAATACCTCAAAACTCATATGTCAAAAATAATATGTGTCAGATAACATAGAAATGTATACTTAATATCATAAATTTGTGGGTGTCTGTTTGTTTTGTTACAAATTGATGTGATTTTTTTATTGACTGGAGATAGTTGAAAGCATAGCAAAGGCTACATTTTATTTCATTGTAACCCACCACTTCCCTAAAACAGGGGGTGGAAGTTAGTATGGACCATTTCGTAATTATCAAGAAACCTAAAATTAGTATCCTTTTTGTGACCAGCAAAACATCGGGAACAAGTATTTTTTATTTTTTATAAACCTGCCCCAATACTTTAAAAGAGCGCGAGCAAAACCACGCGCAGAAGCTAGTCTGTGAATTAAATGTATTTCGTTAATTGAATTCTTATTTTTTTCATAAATTCCCCGACTCTGATGCAGCCAAATACTATTATTAGTCCTTGGAAACAGTTGCCTATTGACAGTCAAAGGCTTAAGCAATATAAGCAATTTTTGGTAGAATTTTCACACATCGGGTTACATTATCGAAATTATCACACGGTTCCCTGTTTTCTCTCTTATTAAATATAGCCTATGTTCATCATCGATAATGTAGGATTCCAACGGTAAAGGAATTTTTGAAATCGGTCCGGTAGTATCGGAGGAGATGCCATTGAAACAAACAAACAAACAAAAAGTCTAATCTTTTCTCTTTATACTATTAGTGTAAGTGTAGATGTAGACTAGGTATTATAAAACCTAAGCGATAAATCTCTTTAAACAAAATTAATATGAATAAATGTTTTTTCTACAAAAAACATGTTCAATACAATAATTTAACACTTGAACACAATGGTGAGGGACTATGTAATAATTATATAAACAATACAGTTATAATATTAAACCCTTGGAAAACATATTTCTATTATAATATCGATGTTGCATGTAATTGAGTGGTACTGGATTTAGTATAAATTTTGGTGTTTAGTTGGACTATTGGTACAGTTTACAGAAATGATGGGTGGTACTGACATAATGCGGGCTGCGGTCATCGCTACCTTGATCGCTTGGTGCACTGCTTATCCTCACAGGGTATACTTTTACATACATCATTATCATCTACCGAAAAAATCCATGTACCAGCGATGCTGAGCGACAGTGTCGCTGTCACATTGCATAAAACTTTACTAACAGACGTATTTTTTTACAAACAGGGACTTTACGACAACAACAATTACAACAACAACGATGCAAATCTCGACTATTCGTACAGTAAGTTATTAATGAATTACCTACATTCCACAAACATACTTTTCTACCATATCCCACATACCAATGCATATGTAGCTAAACACAGCTGTTCTCTATGTTCTCTCAATTTTGTTGATACTCCAACAACATTTGGCCAAAGTGTGGCCAGGAGTACCTGGAGATTTGCTTCATCATCATATCAGCCACAAGACTTCGATCACAGGAACTGCTAAACAGATAAGCCTCCACCAGTGAAATTTGCTTATTAAAGATATTTATTCATAAGATTGGGAGAGCCATGCTTCGGCACGAATGGGCCGGCTTGACCGGAGTCACGGCCTCAAAGAAAACTGACGTGAAAGAAAGCTTGCGTTGTGTTTTGTCGCATAAATGAGGTTACCGGAGGCCCAATCTCCCCAGCCACTGAATCCCCAAAATTTCTCAAACACCTAATCCCCAAAAGGTCGGTAACGCACTTGTAACGCCTCTGGTGGATCAGAGGTGCGCGACGGGCGTGCCATGGGCGACGCCGATTGCTTATCATCAGGTGATTTGCAATCGTCGTCTGATATGCTAGTTTACCGGTTTATCTTATAAAAAAACTTTGACTGCACATAGAAATGTGCAACTAAATTTTATCATAGAGATAGAATTTAGTTGAATTTAGCAAATCTATAAATAAAAGGGTATTCAAACTTTGGCCGTAAGTCGTTTCTTTCAAGTCGAATATAAGTCTATTAACGTCACCACAATTATTCAAGCTCATGCTTTTACACATGCAGGAAACTCGCTATCTAATGGCCTGAATAACAACAACAACCTGCGTTCAAATCTGAATAATCTGAACAATAACAACAACAACCTGCGTTCAAATCTGAATAATCTGAACAATCTCTCCAGACGACAAGCAGTAGCGCTTGGGTAAGTTGACTCTCTATGTATATATACACCTTCAGTTAAATCTTTACAGTTCAACTGTTTGCTTTGTGTGTAGCGCGTATAAAATGTGGTCTATAAATAAATTGTGCATGTCTGACAATGATTATTCAAAAATAATGTATTTTTTTAACCACAGCCCAGCTCCAATCCGACCTCCGACAGCAGATGAACTTAAATATCTTCCGATAGTCCATAGCCGACAGTATGTAAAAAGCCAAATTTACATTCCTAGTTTTTATAAGAAAGTGTTTCAAACGAGCAGAGTGTTTACCTGATGATAAGCAATTGGTGACGCCCCAGGAGTTACAAATGCGGCTCTTGAAATGTTGAAATGTTGTACAGAGAAGCATTGTTATTATTATTAATATCCACTTCCATACCCACAAAGTCGCGGGCACAGCTAATTTTATATTTCATGTACAGATTTGACCTCTCTACCGTTTTATTACAAGTAATAGAAGAAGATTGCCAGGATCTTACGTTCTGTGGCGCACTGAAAATCAATCATTAATCGCTTTTTGACTTGTTTCTTCAAATTCTGTGTTTATTTCCAAAATTCTGTCTGTCTGTCGGTCTCTCCTTCACGTCTAAATTACTGAACCGATTTGGGTGAAATTTGGTACGAACATAGTTTGAAACTCGAGAAAGGACACATGAAACGATGACACACTACCGATGTGAAACTTTCTATAATTCTATAAATAGATATTTCGTGGACTGGTAAGCAATGGTGATCGCCAAATGGTTGCGGAATTCCAAAATCGAGTAAACTGTCTTTATATTCAATACAACTACAGGCTTCTCCGTATTACTTAACAGTAACAGTGATTGTAACACAAGCTAGACGTTTTGTTATAGTATTTTTATATCACTGTAAGAGTTCTATAGCGTTACATAATTCTCTGGTAGTAAAAGCTATAGCATTCCTTGTGTTACAGGTTTGACGAGATTGACGCGTCACACATCCCCATCGGAGGGAGGAGGACTCGAGACGGCCCCGTTCCCCGCAGATTACTGTAAACAAAAGAATCCCGCTACCCTATTTACAAAGCATTATTCCACAATTCCGTATAACTGTCTTCGCTCAGAACTCTGTGATTGGCTAATAAAACATTTCGTTTGTTACAGTAATGGTGTTTTCTTTACTTTTCTACGATACTAAAGTTCTTACTTTTTCTAAGCATTCTTATGTTCAAGATAATCTGTCAGTGTGTAGTAAGCTTGATTACATAATTCGCGCTTAATGTATGTTTTAAATTTACTTTCATTGAGATCTAGTGTGCTATTTGGTATTTTATTATAGCATTTAATACCTAACCCTATAAAGGATTTCTGTACTTTGGACAGTCTGAATTGCGGTATAGCTAATTTATTTTTGGCTCTAGTATTAAAATTGTGTCTATCGCTTTTTTTTTCAAACAATTGCCTATTTTTCCTTACATACATTATATTTTCATATATATATTGACAGGGCACCGTTAAAATATTTATCGTTTTAAACAATTCTCTCAGCGATTCGCAACGGCGTAAGTTATATATTGCTCGGATAGCCCGCTTTTGTAGAATAAATATTGATTCTATTTCTGCAGCTCGACCCCACAACAAAATGCCGTACGACATAATGCTGTGGAAATAACTAAAATAGACAAGCCTAGCTGTATCTACGTCCGTGAGATGTCTAATCTGTCTAACTGCAAAAGCAGCTGAGCTCAATCTCCCCGAAAGCGCCTTTATATGCGGACCCCATTGTAGCCTATTGTCTAACGTAATGCCTAAAAGTACTGTCTCGTCGACAAATTCTAACTTTTGACCGTTCAAAACAATATCACAATCGTTATTACGCACGTTTGGTAAACTGAATTTAATACATTTTGTTTTTTTCTCATTAAGTGCTAGATTATTAATGGTGAACCAATTATGCACTTGAAGAATGGAGCTGTTTACGTCGTCAAGATTATTTGTACGTCGATCTGTTTTAAAAATTAATGATGTATCATCTGCAAAAAGCACCATTTTTGGTTCATTTTTAAATATAAATGGCAAATCATTTATATAGACTAAAAAGAGAAAGGGACCCAATATTGAACCTTGAGGAACGCCCATATTCATCCCAGAGCCCTGTAAGTTAATACCGTTAACATGAACCTTTAACTGTCTTTCTTTTAAATAAGATTTCATAAGACGGAGCGCAGAGTTTCTTATCCCGTAGTGATCTAATTTCAGTAAAAGTGTCTCGTGGTCAACGCAATCAAATGCTTTTGAGAGGTTACAAAAGACACCAATAGCATCCTGTGCTTCCTCCCAAGCACCAAATATTTCCTTAATCAAAGTGACACCGGCGTCAGTTGTGCAACGGCCTTTAGTGAAACCGTATTGTTGTTGGTGAAAGATGGAATGTTTATTAAGACTTTGACTGCCAATAAAAAACTGTTGAAGGTAAATCCTCCGCCATAACGCCGGTTAAAATGATGAAGCATCCGAGACAGCATCCACTTTTCAAAGACTTTGTTGAGAACCGGCAAAACAGACACTGGCCTATAGTTGTTAGGTTCTTTAGTGTCACCACTTTTAAATAGTGGGATAACCTTACTATATTTCATTAGGTCAGGGAAAACACCGTCATCTATACATTTATTGAAAATCACAGCCAGATATGGCGCTACAGTTTGGATAAGTGATTTGCAAACTATTACCGATAAGCCCCAAAGGTCCTCCGTTGATTTGGTCTTGATTTTTTTTAAAACTTTTATAATTTCTAGAGGATTCGTATATCGAAAACTAAAGTCGTATTGACATGATTCTATGTTGTTCTTACGCAAAGTTACAGAGAGGTTTGCTGATGACTTTAAATGTTCAAATCAATCAATCTCTTTAAATCTACTTTTGATAAAATCTGTCCCCTTTCGGTATTTAAATACAGACGTGGAAACCGCCTATATCAATGGTTTTTATCCACAAATCGATAAACCATATCCTTGTATATACCTAGCTGCAGTCGCCCTGGGTTTTCTGTTATACTTTGAAAGATACAGAGATTTTTCAAAATCTTTCATTCGCCGCAATATATATTCCGTACAGCGTAGAAGTGAAAAAATGCTAGGGATGGGGTTTACTTCTGAAATGAGAGCCGATAGTTTAAAAATATTTTTTATTGTAGATAAAATGTTAATATTTAACAGTGTAATATTATTATATAAATCAACATTAATTATGTAACCTAATTATTATAATTACTTATCAACATGAGATCACAAATATACATTTAAATATGTATATATATATTTATATTCTATCACAATCACACTATAGAGCCACCTAGTACCAAATACATATAATGCATAGTATACTTATTTTATGCTCGAAAAAAATCATCCTATGACGAATCCCCGTCCATGGGCGGAGCGGGGAGACGGTGTCAGACTCTTCGAGCCCATGAAGAAAATCGAGCCCATTCCTTCTTTGCCATAGCACCTATACAACATCTTGCTTACGGCCAGCACTAGCGCACACTGAACCGCCGCGAAGACGCATGAAGTGTGGTGCGGGGTTGGAGGGGTACGGCAAGATATTCGCCGTGCCGCACTGAATGAAAATAATCATCTTACTGTGCGTTACGGCAACTATTTTGCCGTATATTGTTAGTGCATAATATTATTATATTAAAAGCAACAATATTGAAAATATCAATATCTCATTCCTACGCGCAAGGGAACTTAGATAAATCGCCCCCGCACAGTACGCAAAACAAGGACAACGAGCTACCGCACTGGCTGAGATTCAAATACGGCCAAATACTTGCCGTAACGCAGTGAATGTGTTAAACAAGAAGGCACAAACACTGAATAATAATTTGCCGACGGCTGTAACAAATAGTTTCCATAAGAACATTATTTTTACTTTTAAACCTTAATTACGAAGGCCGCCAATCTAATTACAATTTTAAATCCTCCTACCACAAAACATAATTTCGAAAGCTCAGAAGTTTTCTTTGAGAAATATAGTAAGTTATTGTTTCTGTTAGGTTAACGAAATTGTTGAAATTCAAAAGAGTTTCAATCCCTTTTCATGTCATACTCTAAACGGTGTCGGTCATTGCTGCTCCCGCCTAGGTGAGGCGGGAGGGAGTGTTAGACTCTTACTGACTAAAAACTACCCCGTTCCTTCTCCTGCACGTCGAGCCGAAGCCCCGGTTACCCGTTAGTTTCTCCGCGACTCCAAATCGGCATCGGCCCTGTTGGGCCCCATCTGTGGTGGTCTGATGGCTCGCTCTGATGACAATATTTGTCATTTTGATTTTGTTATCTTACTATTTAAAATCACAGATTATTTCATAATTACAATAAAAACATGGACAAATATCAATATTGTGTCACATTATTATAATGAAACTGACAGATGTTAGATATTTAAGTTAGTCTTTTAAATAATAAATATGTTCTTATATCGATATTTTTATTTCTTAGTCTCCGCACTATGCGAGTGATATTCGTAGGTGCGCTTTGGTGGAATAGAAAAACTATTTATTTAAAATTATTATTTTAAGCGCACCTACAGGTGCGCAAAGTGGAATACTTTAGGTGCGCTTCGTCTGGGTGCGCTTCATTTAGGTGCGCAAAGTGGAATGCCCCGACCAGTCCCAGTTGCGCCCGTTCACGAACATGACACGTACACCAGCACCGCCCAACTCCACCATATTGTAGGGAATAGAGCGATCCACTTCACGTGCCACCGCCAATGAGAACGTCGAGTGAGCATGACAACTCCAAGCTGACACAAACGTATTCTAGAAGTCTAATTTAATATTTATTTAATTACAGGGCTCTCACATTTACAATGATTATGTAAGTTAAACAAAATACAAATGAGCAACATATTAATTACTTTCATTGAAACATCAATATTTTTCGTTATCCTCGGCTCCACAGAGCCGGACTAGCTTGCATCCAAGCATTTTTATCCTCTATATAATCATTAATTTTTTAATATGCTTGTCTACATAAAGTTTTATTATACATTATTTAAATTTTGTTTTATTTAGGTGTTGTATGTCGCCTGGTATCTTGTTATAACATTTAACACAGAATCCAATGAACGACTTACCTACTTTCGCCAATATCAAAGTTGGCTAACTTTGATAGTGGTGTCCGACACTTTACCAAATAACTGTAGGTTTTTCGTAACATACATGATGTTTTCATTAATAAATTGACATGAAACGGTCATAATGTTGATCTCTTTAAACTTTTCTCTGAGTGATTCGCGACGACCTAGATTGTAGATAGCTTTGACGGCGCGCTTTTGTAAGATAAAGATAGACTTAATGTCAGCAGCGTATCCCATCCCCATATTGCCATAAGACATAATGCTATGAAAGTAACTGAAGTACACTAGTCTTGCCGTGCCTATGTCAGTTAACTGTCGGATCTTCTACAGTTGTCTTCTACAGTAATTCCCAGGAAAGTTGTCTCTTTTACAAACTCTAATCTCTCACCATTCAATAATATGTCACATTCGTTGCTTTTAACGTTTGGCAAAACAAATCTAATACATTTTGTCTTTTTATCGTTTAGTACTAAGTTATTTAATGTAAACCAAGTTTGAACCTTCATTAGGGCATTATTTACATCGTCATAATTATAATTATGTTCGTCTATCTATTTTAAAAACTAATATAATACCATCTGCGGTATAATACCATCAGCGAATAATACCATCTGCGGTTCATTTTTAAATAATTGCTTACTTTTGGTCAGGGAGGTGTTCTATCTAAGGCTGTGAACAAACGTGTAGTGACTGATTAATCTTCTATTATGTTTTGCTATAGTACAAATAATGTTCCCCATTCATTCCATATTCTTTAAAGACGACTAAATCATTGACTAAAACATCGAACCTTACCTTAATTTAGTGTTTCGTACAATTTTAAAATTGATTGAAAAGCCATGAAGTACAATGGTCGTTTGACCGAAGCAGTTATTTGTATTTGATCTAAAACAAGTTGCTTAATTTGGTTTCAACCT